GTCAAATGCCATAGAAACTAAAGCCCTGACTTTTTTTTTCAGTTCAGTGTTCCACGTGTATGAACCGGTCTGAGAGGTGATGCTACCTATTTGTTGTCTGAGACTGACAGGAAATGAGTGAGAAGCAAAGTGGAAAACTTTGATATCTATCTCGTCTTACCTAAATGGGATATGAATTTCAAGACTTTGTTTTTCTAAATGATTTTGGATTTTCAGATGATCAGATGCCTCCATAATAAAACCAAATCCTTTCTGGAATAAAATGCAAATGGTTCTCAGAGGATCTGCTTGGGATTAGCTGCCTTGCACTCTTTGTCACGCATGTTTCAAAGTTGGCTGCAAATGCTAACTTACAGATAAGTACAAACCAAAATTAGCAGCTCACTTTCCCCTGGCTACACACCCTGCATTGCACAGATAAAAAGCCCACTGGCACAGCATTCCTCAGAGCTGACCCACATGGATAATTTTTGCTCCTGATGCTGGAGAATATGACAATATGAGGGACCTGTGGCTATCTGTCTGAGTGGGTAGTTTTGCAATGTGAACTTATATGTGCAAATAAAATCTGTTTTTTTTTTCAAGTTAAAACTAAACCTCAAAGGCAATGGATTTCAAGCTGCCAATAAAATTGAGAAAGGCAGTGTCATGAGGAATAAAAGTGAGCACTGGTTCCCATGGCCCTCATTTTCATCTTTGTGGCACTGCTCTCACTGTTTTATAGAAGATCATAGATGCTTGTCTTGAAAGAGGAAAATACTAAATAGATATTCATGCTCTTGAGATTAACTTTGTACTTTTCTCATCCATCAGATTATGAACAGGAAAGTAGCATAGTAGAGAATGGTTTAAAAAATAAAAATGGACTTGAATTACTGAAGGAGGGGTTTCTTCCTATTTGGGAGTTGAAGGAAAACATTACATCCTGTTAGCTCGCGGAAGGCACCACTTACTATGGGCTGTCTCCTTCCTTGCAAGAGGACACAGATTTTATTTTTAGTGAAGTAAACAGCAGATTCTACTGTGTGAATCCATGCAGTTGGAACCTATAGCAACCTCATTTAAAATGTTATAAAGCTTTAAACATCAGGAGTTTAAGGTAGTCAGTCATAGTTACCTTCCCCTATATATTCAGCCACCCACACACATGCTCATGCTTGTCCACACATTGATAGTAAATGGTATGCAATAGTACAACACATGCTGGAGTTTTACCATCATTGAATCATGTTTCACATCCAATACAGAGACTGATGGAAATAAAACACAAAGCATTGCAACCAGGAGCAAGAGCATGTTGGTGCCTAAATAGTGTAGTTACATCACAAGGTTAGCAACTACCTAAGATTTCATCAAAGAATATTATTATTCACACATGGAGGACTGGACAGATATTTAAGAGCTACACCCAAAAGGCTTTGGCACTCACCTTCACAGACAAAAGACTGCTGCTACAAAGCGACGGCTCCCTTTTGAGAAGTGACTTTTCTGGCCATGGGAAAGAGCACAATTGGCCTGTGTTCAGGGAAAGTCAGAGGACTAGGGAGTTAATGACCCCAATAGCACCCCTCAGCCAGAAATAAATAGAGATTTGAGGTATAACTACCTTAGCTTCATCAGGACTTAGCTGGGATACTTTGGGTCATGTTCCCTTGGTCTCCTGAAGTTCCCCGCCAAACTTGAGCTCCAGCTGTCCAGAGTAGTAACCAGTTTGACAACACATCCCTGAATGGCCTCAGACCTTTCCCTGGCTCATTTCCCCCTTCCCTGCTTTCCTGAGTTCACCCCCATGTAAACTACTTGGATTCTAAGCCTTGTATTAGGGTCTGCTTCGGAGGCAACCAAAGACACTCTCTTCAGTCCTTATTCTTCTGTGAAATTTAATTTTCACTAAATACTCTGGAACATGTATCCCTTGATACTGATTTCACAAAAATGGGATTCTCACCAAAACTCACAAGTTTAGGAAAAACTCACAATTATTCATGTACTTATTTTAAAGTATAAGAATGTTTTCTTAATTGCATAACACCTGTAACAGGGGGATGATTTTTAAAACCAGTAAGACAACTTACTACAGAAAGCTATTTGAAGCCCTGGCCAGGTAGCTCAGTTGTTTGGAGCATCATCCCAAATGCCAAAGTTTGGGTTCGATCCCTGGTCAGGACACATACAAGAAGCAACCAATGAATACCTAAATAAGTGGAACAGCAAACCTATCTTTCTTTCTCTCTCTCTCTCTCTCTCTCTCTCTCTCTCTCTCCCTCTCACTCTAAAATCAATAAATTATTTTGTTAAGAAAGCTATTTGAATAGAACTAGTGGTAAATGGGAAACTAGTTTCCTATCTTTTTTTCCCCATTTACTATTCTACACATATTTTCTCAATATGGATGTTTTCCTGGATTTCATTCTTCTGTGCAAATGTGTATTTGCTGGTTATATTCAACAGATATAACCAACATATCAAAATGAATATTTACTCAGCATGCTTCATGCACTCAGTAATGACTTTCTAAATCCTACACTATAATCCTCACAGCTTTTCACTCTGTTGCAAAGATAAGCCTTCAACCTATGAAAATTTTTGAGAGAAATATTAAACAGTGTTGAAGCATGAAACTGCATGGTAATTAATGACTTATGTAAAACTTTTCTAAAAGGCAAGTGCTATAAAGTAGTAGTAGTTCAAACGGAAGAAAAGTGAAAACAAGTAAAGAGATACCTGGAAACTTCTTGGTTCCAGGATTCCATATTATAGATAAATCCTTAAACCAACGACCTGAAGGCCTCAATTTCTTCTGTATGTTCTTAAATGATATGGGGAAAACAGCATTAATAGTCTCCTTGGTTATCAATAATTCATTCACTTGATCAGTTCATCAACTGACATCTCCCCAATACGTAATAGTAAACAGAACAAAATTCTTGCCCTCATGAAGTTTGTACTCTAAAATGGCAAACAGTAAATCCACAAGTAGGCAGGTACATTTATAATATAATTTCAAGTAATGGGACTCTGACAAAAAACAAGCGGGCATAGTAGGGCTAGAGAATAATGGAGGAACATTTATTTTCGTTAGGGTGGTCAGAGATGGCTTCTCTGTGGAGTTATCATTTGAAAAGAAGGAGCCAGCTCTGCAAAGAAGTGAGAACAGGATTTTTCTGGCAGAAGAAATAGCCAATGCAAAGGCCCTGAGGTAGGCATAAGTTTAACATGTGAAATAAAAAACAAGACAATGATAAGTAAAAAGGATGTCACAGAAAGTGAAGTGAGAGAGATGGGCAGGAGCCAGATACTACACAGCTTGTAATGTGGATTTCATTCTGAGGGGGATAGAAAAAACATTGGAAAGTTGAAAGATCACTCTGGCTATCATTGACAAAAAGGCCTGTATAGGGTACAGGAGCATAAGAAAGAAGACCAGTTAGAAGGTTATTCCCTTGTCAGGTGGGAGATGATGATGGTTAGAAGTAGGAGAATTTGGGTTCTGAAAAAAAAAAGAATAAATGATTGTTTCTGGATATTTACTTAATTCACCTCATAAATGATGGTACCAATTACTGAAGTAGCGTTAGCTAGGCAAGAAGCAGGACATGGATGGGGCAGAGATGAAGAATCCCATTTAGGGCATGTTAAGTCTGAGATGTCAGTTATACTTTCCAATGGAGTTGGATATACCAGACTAAAGTTCAGGATTGAGTCTGGCTGGAGATATAAATTGGAAGTCTTCAGCATTAAGTGGTATTTCAACCTTGGGCTTAATGATTAGGAAGAGAAAATAAAACAGATCTGAGGATGTAGTTCTGGAACATTCACACATTCAGAAATTTAAAAAGGGAAGAAAGACTAGAAGTCTGAAGCATCAACCACTGAAGCAGGAAAAAAACAAAACACAGGGAAAAATTTTTAGATTTACCTGCAGAAGGTTCCACCTGAACTGATAAAAAAAACTCAGTCTCATTGTTTGTGGAAGTAAGGAGGGCAATGATCTCTCTAGGGGTCCAGCTATAAAAACTGATAGGTAATGGGTTTTGCTTGTATAAGCAAGAAGAAGAAGGAATTTTGATCACAGCTTGGCCTCCCTCCCCCCGCTCCCCGCCCCCAACACACACACACACACACACACACACACATCTTCCAGGGACAATTACAAAAATGGAGAAAAAGAAGGCAAACTGCATGCCATCTACTCCACCACCCTCTCCAGATTGAGAGCCCTTAAGTTCTGGTGATAGAGAAAGATACAGTCAGAAGCCAGAGTTGCTGGCTCTGTGGCTGACACTGCAAAGCTCTGAGCACTGAGAACGATGCTTCAGGCCCAGGTGACCAAGCTAGTGAGAGTATTGTTCTCACCTGTGCACAGAGTTGGTGCTGGGAATCTGTACCTTTGACATACGTACACCTTTGGCAACATCATGGAGGCCACAGAGTGATCACAACATCTCTTAGTCACTCAACATTCCTTTGCTACAGGTGAGTTGAGCAACATATTAGCACAGGCTCCAACTCCAGAATTCATTTCCTCTCCAGGAGATTTGGTTTCCTGACTAGAGTCGGCAAACTGCACATCATGGAGGCCACACAGTAATCACAACATCTCTTAGTCACTCAACATTCCTTTGCTACAGGTGAGTTGAGCAGCATCTTAGCACAGGCTCCAACTCCAGAATTCATTTCCTCCAGGAGATTTGGTTTCCTGACTTTCCTGACTAGAGTCGGCAAACTGCAGTTCGCGATCTACATGTGGCTTTTTGGCCCCTTGAGTGTGGCTTTTCCTAAGCCTTAGGAGTACCCTAATTAAGTTAATAACAATGTACCTACCTATATAGTTTAAGTTTAAAAAAGTTGGCTCTCAAAAGAAATTTCAATCGTTGTACTGTTGATATTTGGCTCTGTTGACTAATGAGCTTGCCGACCACTGCATAGACAACACAGCCAAACCAGCTCCTTCATGCATGCGCCCCCTACTGGAGGCATCGAGTTCCTTTATAACCAACCTGTGTTGAAGAAGGATCCAGTCCATTCTGCCTCAGTTTTAGGAAACACAGAAACTGGTGGAGGTAGACCCAGGGCTCTCCCATCGAGATCCTTAAAGAGATATTTTCTTGGATTTTCACAAAGGGATTCAGGGCAGACCAGTGTTCCTAAATCTTCCCTGTAAAGACAGACAGAAAGCAACTCTCATTTTATGAGCAACAAAAAAGAAAATATATTGAAATTACTGATCTGATGAAAAAGGAATTTATTAGTAGTAATGTGTTACATAGATATTAAATAAAACTCTATAGAAAATATTACTTCTCAGTTATATGGTCAAGAAGAAAGGCATTATTGTTATCCAAATACTCTGGATATATCATCTTTACATAGATTGTAATTTTCTAAGCAGTAAGATACAATAAAATGCTCCTAATTTTAATACCTACTGAAAATAATGTAAGCATTTCTTTATGGAACTTTGGTACCTTGCAGTATTACAAGATTATTGTTATAAATTTCAATTATATTTATGCCATATGCAAACAAGGTAAAAATAGATATTCTCATTTAACAAATATCTATTGACAATCTACCACTTACAGGTTTGGGGTATAATGGTGATAAAAACAGGCATGGTTCCTATACTTTCAGAATTTAAAGTCATATAACCTTAGGAGGTTATATAAACAAATAGTAAACCAGTATAACACTGAAATTTAGAAAACTTATTTTATTTCTCCTGGTCTAATACTTTTCAGTACCATCAGTACTAGTGTCAAATATTATTGCCTGCCAACCATGTGTTAAGTATTAATAGTACAAAGAATCAGATGCTAGTATTATAAAGCTTTATAATTCTTTCATCCCATAGGTTTACATGAACATAAGGAAAATTGGACAATAGATGAAAAATGACAAGACAACCCAAATTACATACCTAATAATGTTTAGGTACCAAAAGTAGCTCAGGAATGGGCATCTTAAAGAGACAGGTATTGGGCCAAAAACATACACTTTCCAATTAGGGTGATTTTTCTTGATTCTTTTCTTCCAACTATAGGAGTTTATCCCAATGTTATGGGAAAGAAAAGTAGCCCATTTTCCCAGATCCTGATTTTCCTGCTCCCTTTTATGACAAAAATAGTGCCTTATTGAGTTTTCAGATTCCTGAATGAAACTCTCAATCATATGGTCCAGAATAGTGGTTACACCTGGTCTGAGCACCAGTATCTATCTAAGCCACATTATTCAACTCAGGGGTTCTTGACAACAGACATGATTTCCTTCTCCCTACCAGCCCCTGCACAAGGGCTCCTAAGGTTCCTTCTGAAGATTGATGACACCATGCTCTATAGAATAGACAAGAATTAGGGAACATTTTTTCCAGTGATTGAAACTATCCCAAATACTGCACAAGGGCTCCTAAGGTTCCTTCTGAAGACTAGTGACACCATACTCTATAGAATATACAAGAATTAGGGAACATTTTTTCCAGTGATTGAAACTATCCCAAAGAAATATCTCTAATAAAGACAAAACAATATCAATAACAATTGCCCTGCATCACGTCTACACCTTTTATTAGCCAGAGAAAGTCACATTGCTGAACCCAGATTCAAGAGAGAGAAACAACCTCTGCTCTTTGGCGAGAGACACTGCAAAAACCATGCAGCAAAGCACTTGGACATGGGAGGCGTAAAGAATGGGGGGCATGCAATTAATCTAGCATACTTTTCAGAAGGACTTCTTTTTATTCCCATTAATGATTTTATACTTCATGGATATGGCTTGTAAATACTAAAACTGGTACCTGGTTTGTAAAGGAGGAAAGTAGAACTTGTTTTTATCTTTGATCTTTAGCATTTTGGTCCTCTCTGCTGTTATGGGATGAATGATTCCAGTGTTCTCTGCATTGGGCAGAATGCATACATCTAGGTCATTGCTATAGCAACTCTTCACAAAACTAGAAAAGGTGACATCTGAAAAAAAATTGTAAGCATAGCATGGCATTAGATCACATAAACTACCAACCGCAAATATAGACTACGCAACTAAACAATCTTTGCTACTGTTTGTCCAGAAGTTAATTTAAGCTGTCCAGGCTAGTTCCAGGAGTTTACATAAATCTTGGCTTAAATATCTATTAATTCTTCAAGACATGAGTATCCTTTTCAAAATAGAAGTAGCCCAACACATCAATGTCTTCAGAATGATATGTTTTATCATAGGTCGCTGTCCAGGCTAGTTCCAGGAGTTTACATAAATCTTGATTTAAATATATGTAACTCTTTAAGACATGAGTATTCTTTGCAAAATAGAAGTAGTCCAACACATCAATGTCTTCAGAATGATGTTTTATCATAGGTTTGATAAAATCCAATGGGGAGTGAGTACAATATTACAAAAGAGATCTAATAAAATATTAACTGCATAGGTAGTGATATAATTTGATTTTATTCCTGGCTACACCACCAACTAGTAAACAACTTCAGTGAGACACAATTTCTGCATCTATATTTCTTCCTTTCTATAATAGGAAAAATAACACCTACCTAAGAGAATTTTCATATAATCAAATTCAATAATTGCTGTGAAAGTTCTTCAACATGTTTAAAGCAGTAACTTTTTAAAGGAATCACTTACTGCTATTATCAACCATTAGTGTGATTATCAATATGCAGCAGTTGGTCAATTGTACAACAAGCACTAGACTACACTGTACTCTTTTGTTGATATAATTTCAGAATGCTATTAAAAATTCTGTGCACAGAGATATGAAACTACATTATTTGGATAAGCCCAAACATCCTACCTTGAAGCTTCATGATTCCTGAAACTGAATGGCCATTTCTCACTTTGTGCCATGGTTCCTGAGGCCACCGATTTGGTTCTGAGGTGAACACTGGCCACAGAATACCAACTCGACCCCCTCTGGGGTTGGAAGGAGCTCGGTCCATTAATGTCCAGTTGGCAGAGCCAGGCTTAACCCTGTCCTGAATGCAGTCAAAAGAGGAGCTAGTGGCCACAATGACTGAATTCCTAAGCACAATCTGCACATTTTCGATTGAAGGCTGTGAAGCAGAAGACACATATACTATCGCCAGAAGACCAATAGCGTTGTCCACCAGAGTGACGTTCTCTATCTCCACACTGTTCTCCACATGTAGCATGGCACCGTAGTCAAAGTTCTTGAAAGCCAAAAAACCAGAGATTCTAGTACAGTTGCCAAGTCCACTTTCCTTATAGAGATGAAGACCGTGAAGGCTTGAGTGGGCCACATTGTCAGACCAGAGAGCTTCAAGAGGGGAACACCTCTGGCCTCGGATGTGAAAGCCAAGTCTCTCCGATCCTGCCACGACATTACCATGGAGGGTGATGTCCTTTGCCTGGTTCACTTTGATGCCTGCCACCCAAATGGTGGACCACGCTGACTGTGTCATCAGAACCACAAGGTTATTAGAGAGAGAATAGGCCTGACCCTCCAAATCAATGCCATGACCAACGGTGCTAAACACTATGTTGTCATTTAAAATGATCCCATGACTGGCAACTGCGCCAATGCCCCCACCGCAGCTGTGGTGCAGAGCAGAAGATATTATCCAGGATCCTGCCGACACATTCGTGAATTCAAGGGATGAAAACAATGGTGAGCCAAAGTTCTGAATTTCTACATTTAATAGTTGAAGGACACCTGTAAACAAAATGCATATCATCAGGTACTTTTTCTTCCCCATGAAAGGCAGAAGGATGGTCCATTTATTGACACCAGAATATGCAGATTTTTCATTGAAATATAATCATTTCTTCTCAGCACCAGCACAGTATTTCATGCCCATGAGTCTCACTAACAAAATATGAATCTTTAGAAGGTGACATTAATGCCTAAAAAGGTTTTGTGTGCAGACTGGAGAGTCTGGTGATAGGATAGAGAACAAGGAAAGGAAAGATAGAGAAAGGAGATGGGCACACGTAGCTTAAAGACTCCAGGCATCTGCCTTCAGGGCTGGGTCAAGAACTGGGTAAGAACGAGGGGAATATAGATTCCTAGGACTCACCTCAGAATCCTGTCTTCCTCTCTGTGTCTCAGTGACCCCCATGTGAAAAGGTCATAGCCATCCCCACAAAGATATTGTATGAAAAAAATATAATGGCTAACTCTATCAATAGTTTAAACATTTAAGAGTATGAGAGGATAAGTGAAAATTTTTGAACATATATTTCTGTTCAATATATGCCCAAAACATGCTATTCAATAATGTCTCTTGATTAAGACATGGAGGAAATAACATTTTTTTAAAATCATTTTCAAATTCTATACTAGTAAAATTCTGTATGTTTATTTTAGTCACACTATATTATTTTTTAATTTTCATAATAATTAGTTTTTAATGTCATACGTGCATAATTATAATTCATAGTTTTAAATTACACAAGTCTGAAAATTAATTCATAGTACACATTTAAAATGTCTTACTCATTTCAACAGAAAATTTAGCAGTGATTTTGTTCACAACTATTTTCCCATTGAAAAATCACAATTCTGAGTGCAAATTGCTGGATATGTCTCATCAGATTAGGAGACTGACAGAGGTCTCCAGTTTAAAAGAAGGAGTTATAAGTTCTGGTCTGCTTTTCTGCCCTATAACCATTGAATACCCATGGATGGCATCTTTGACCAACACCTGCAGATCCCATCCAATCCAGATGCTGGAGTTTGTTACAGAACAATGTTAAGGGTGTTTTTTTAAAACATGTATTTAACACAGTTAATCCTTATGTTTTCTGCCCTATAACCATTGAATACCCATGGATGGCACCCTTGACCAACACCTGCAGATCCCACCCAATCCAGATGCTGGAGTTTGTTACAGAAAAATGTTAAGGGTTTTTTTTAACATGTATTTAACACAGTTAATCCTTATAACAACCCTGTGAAGTTTCCATCATTATTCTTGTTTTACAGTTAGAGAGTGAGACCCAGAAGGATTTAGCAATTTATCTTAATTTACATAGTTAATCACAAGTTAGGATTCAAACATGAAAAGTTTGGCTCCAGAATCTATGCATTTAGCCACCCCTGTGAATACCCTTGTTTTACTGATGATGAGACTGAGGCTCATGGAGGCTAAGAAACGTGTTCACAATTACACAGCTAGCAAATGGTAGAGCCAGTTTTGATCCCAAAAACCTGGATTTCCCAGCCATGTTACCACCAGTCCAGCTGTGAGTTCAATCCTGAAGAGGCCAAACAGACTTTAGACACTCCCCCTCACTCAGAGCCAAGGACAAAAGGGAAGCAATTGATAGTTTACAAACAGACTCACCCACCAAAGTTGTGACAAGCAAAAATGTCTCCAGATATGGACAAATGTCCTTGGGTGTGGGGAGAAGCAAACTCACTTGTGTTGACAACTAATGGAGTGAGAGCTTAAGGAGAGAAAGCTTGTTCTATGGACCAGAAATCCCGAACTGTGATGTAAGGTGTAAACACTGCTCTTCATCATACTGGTGAAACGGATGTGCCAGCGAAAAGTGTTCCATGCTCGGTATCTTTGGGAAGTGGTTAGAACCTCTATTCCAGGCTTTCTCAGAGCCTGTATTGTATTCGTGTACACAGTGACTTTCTAAGATGGAGCTACAGTGATAGCCTCTCCCAAATTTATTTGACTATGGAACAACGTTGGAATAATATTTAAGGAATATAAGTTGAAGAAATAAAGTGCTAATCGAATAATTTTGCAGCATTCCAAGAGCTAAAACTTGAAAGAAATGAGAGAGAATGAACTGATCCTTAAAGCAGTCTGGAATATGGAAATCACTTTTATTTAAATTTACGCTATTGCTTTATAGCATGAGCTGAGGCCTGCCATCAGATATTGCATGCTACTGGGAAAGAATTATAGAAATTCAGGAAAGAGATAAAACTCAAGTGGTCATTAAATCATCCATAATTTCAAAGCAGAGGAAATTTCACATCTGCTGAAGATGTTTTCTTTGAGGTAAAAATGTGCATATGTGCTGATCGCTAGTATATTATTTTAACATCACACTGATAATTAAGCACAGATCAGAACTGAAAATGCATAGCTACTCAGAGCACAGAGGAGCCATTTAATTTGTACATTTTGTTATATAAAGGACAATTCTCTGTATGTCCCAGAAGAATAGGCTCCAATTGGCAATGCCACTTAAAATTCCGTTTACCTGAAAATTCTTCTCTGCTGGACTTCCTGAAGGACCCCACAAGCAGTCTCCCCCTACACGATGTATCAGACTGGATTTGTATATTTCGGGTCAAAAGTCCAACTTCAGCAGCCAAACGAATGTATGGGCCATCCTCCAGGACGTGTACGCTTCCTGGGGCAAAAGGAGTTGGGGAAGAAACACCTTTAAAAATCAACTTCAGGAATCACCAGTCTGGGACCCAGAGAATCTGCCAAATGAAAACACTCCTTTCCCCTCAGAAGTCCTACCAGCATCCAGGTCCGCTTTTCCTCGGGCATCTCCACAAATGTCAGCTGAGAAATGAAAAGCCGAGTTACTCGTGTCTCTTTGGGATTAGAGTGAAAGTGGTTGAGCAAGAATTCATTTCTCCTCAATAACTGTGGCTACTAGGACAGGTTACTGTGCAGGGACAGAAGGGCAGACCTGTCCAATTAGTGGGGTCCCCATCCTCCTTCCTTAATTGCATCAGTGTGAGACTCAGCATTTGGTTGGACATTGTCTGTGGACTTCTTTCATGAGAGTGAGGAATCCCAGAGCAACTGAGGCAGTGACAGAACTAAAGCAGCGATGTATGAGAGTGAAGGGACCAAGGGCAGCAGCAGCATCCTCCCACGGTGGGTCTCAAGCTCACTGCTGCCTGAGGAGCCTCCTCAGCAGTGGGAGCCAAACAGCCAAGGGCTGGTTTCCGTCACTGCCCTCCACATGGAGCACTTCACTGACCAGGATCGCTGAAGATTTCTCTCTTCTTTGGCCACTTTTTAAAAACAGAAATCATCCTTGGAACTATGATTTAAACGTAGCTTTATATATAGTCCTGGTGAAAACATGTATTTCCCTTTCACAAATCACAGACACAAAGATATTCCCTAACCCCTCTATTTCCATGTTTTATTACTTATTTGCTGTATCTTCTGTGTTAGATTAGTTTATTCCACGGAAGCAGGAAATGTATGGTTATGGTTATTTATTATTTATGTGCAATATATATTTAACTGTGTATAGTATATAAAAATATTCAGCATATTTTTGAGAAAAGGCATTTGAGTATTTTTTGGTAGCAGTAGTAGTCAACACATAATATGAACTTGATGTCAGGAGGGGTACATTCCTCAGTATGAAAAAGAAGTCATTATCCTATCTAATAAAGAGGGAATATGCTAATTGACCCTCATGCCATCACAAAGATGGCAGTGCCCACAGCCAATAAGGAGGGAATATGCTAATTTCTGCCATGCCCTCAAAGATGCCAGCGCCCACAGCCACAAGATGGCGGCGCCCAGTCCCTTCAGCCCCGCCGGGGCGCCTGCCTCCAGAGTCCCCCAGTCCCCTCAGCCCCCCAATCCTGCACTGCCAACAGTGGCAGCAGCAGAGGTGTGATTGGGGTGTCGCCTTCCCCTGATCACCAGGTTGCCTCCCGCCCCTGAGGGCTCCCAGACTGTGAGAGGGGGCAGGCCGGGCTGAGGGAACCCCCCTCCAGTGCATGAATTTTCATGCACCGGGCCTCTAGTTTATAATAACTACCACCTTCTAAGTAACTGTGTAATTCAGAGTGCCAGGAAATGAACTAGAAACTCAGCTCCCATGAGATTTATTCTGGCCTAGACATGAAAATGTCCAGTGACCTTGAACAAGAGCTGTAACCCTTCTGCTTGCTTCTAGACTTGCCATTATAAATAAAAGTTTAAAAAATTCGCTCACATCAATGTATTTTTAATTCTGCAATAAAATGAATGAAGGGATAGAGATAAGCCTTCTAGGATGAGTCTAGGCAGCAGTAAAGCACTGTCCCTCTCCTATGGATGGTGATGGGATCCAAGGCCCCAGGCAGAACACGTTCTTCCCGGCTCATTCACCTCCCTTAACCAGCAAAGCAAACCTTACCAATGTGCCGGTGCTTGAGCCGCTCCTGGATCCGAACATGGTGGCCCTTAACTTCTTTCACAGTGAGGACCTCTGCTTCATGAGGCTCATAGGAAGAGGAGCCAAGCACAATTTTGTCGTGGGGTCGCCAATCCACGGCGTCCTCTACTATAATTCTGTAACAGCATAGAGATGTATCAAGTATCTGGCACCGCAACACAGATCACCTACCTGACTCCAGATCGCAAAGGAAACGCACTACAGCCAACAATTCCAGGGAGATTAAAGAAGAAATTCCAGCCCCGATAGGTTTGGCTCAGTGGATAGAGTGTCGGCCTGGGGACTGAAGGGTCCCAGGTTCGATTCCTGTCAAGGGCATGTACCTTGGTTGCGGGCACATCTCCAGTGGGCTCAGCACAATGGTGTGGGAGGAGGAGGTGAGCACGCTGGCGATGATGGCATCTCGCATGTTGAAGGGCAGCATGGTGTAGACCACGAAGATGATGAAGAGGAAGAAGGACACCTGCGGGTGGAGAAGAACAGCAAGAGTCACAGAGAATCCCCATTCCCAAGTGCTTCCAGTGTCCTTCCCATTATAGGCTGCGTAAAACATCATGAACTGCACTTGTTTAAGAAAATACTGTTGCCCTGACTGGTTTGGCTCAGTGGATAGAGCGTCGGCCTACCGACTGAAGGGTCGCAGGTTCGATTCCGCTCAAGGGCATGTACCTTGGTTGCGGGCACATCCCCAGTGGGGGGTGTGCAGGAGGCAGCTGATCGATGTTTCTCTCTCATCGATGTTTCTGACTCTCTATCCCTCTCCCTTCCTCTCTGTAAAAATATCAATAAAATATATTTTTTTAAAAAGAAGAAGAAGAAATTCCAAATCAACACAGAAACATATGGCTTTTGCAAAAAGTTTAATGCTAATGGAGCCGATCTTCTGGCTTACATGTATACATGTTAAAAATATGACGTCTACATCTCATTTCCTAAAATTACAATCTTCCTCCTCAATTGGCAAGAGTTAAATAATAAAGGTATTTCAGAAGGAATTATTTCTTAAATTTTCTGAAGACTGGCAATACAATTTTGAGACAGTTTATTATCATTCATTAAGGCTCATACTTGTATGGTCAGACAGATACAGTATGAATCCTAGAGGTGCCACTTACTAGCTGTGTGATTTTGAGAAGTCACTTAAACTTTTCTGAGTGTCCTATCTTCATTTGAAAAGTGGCAATATTTAAATCTTCCCCCCAACATCCCAATGTTACTGTAGGGATAGAAGTATACATGCCTCCACTGTGCTATGTTCTAAATATTGTTTGCACACATATGAAACTATAAGGGTTTTGTTCATTTTTGTTTGTTTGTTTTACTTCACATTTAATAAAATCTCTGTTCAGTATTTCACTGCTGCGTAGGTTTTTCTAGTGAATATATTTCTGTTTTATTCTCAATTCACAATCATTAATAACTTCAATGGCATATGTTTATTTTAATTACCTGCCTCTTTTGTCAATGTCTACATTTTAGCAAGTTTTGACAATGGATTCTCCTCTACCAGTAAAATGTTCATCCAGGTAACAGGTCTATGTGACAGCCATTCAATCATGCAACACATATTGATTGAGCAACTGGTTTGCACCAGACACTACAGTAGGTGCTAGAAACATAATGGTAAATAAAACATGGCATTGCATTAAAACTTAGATTTTGACCAGTAAACATCCTTAAAAAAGCTACCGTGTAAGTGGAAAATTCACAGATGTCTAGCATATAGTATCAACACCAAAAACAGAAAGAAGTTTAAAAAGGTCGTCTGTAGGCCAAAGATGGTAATTAATTCAAATCTGTGTCCTTGAGGTTAGGGAAAGAGAAAAAGAGAGTCGGAGAGAGAAAAGAAGACTTGTCAATTGATGTAATTTTAGTGAAAGAATTTAGTGTTACCTTTGTTCCTACTTTGCTATGACATCCTAGAAAACTCACAGTTACATTATACTAGAATAACTACTAACTTTTAAAGGCAAGGAAACCAATATCCAGAGAGATTAAGTAACAAAACTCAAGAATAGATCAATGAATGGAGTCAGAGGTTGAATTAAGATAAAAGGAAGACTCCTGATCAGGTGAAAATACTTTCATTAAATAACATCAGCCCACCTGTCTGACTCTTAGTTCTTCACCTGCTAAAGAAAAAGCAATACTACCACATTCTGTAATGATATCATGATAATCCCTGAAATTATGAAAAATCTATAACCCATACAGTGTAAAATTACAGTGCAGCAAAACAATGAATTACAAGGGATTCTGCTCATTACAAATTGACTGATAAAAGCAGGATATAAAACAATATACACCATTTATTTTTAACAAAAATAACACATGCACAGAAAACAGAAGACAGGAAAGATGCTCATTGAAATGTTAGTTCACTTATGGATAATGGGTTTATTAGTAATTTTCATTTAAATATAAATTTTCCAACTTACCAGGTAATATATATTGTAGTAAAATATATTTTTTTAAAAAGAAAAGAAAGCTATGGGTTTAAAGTAACACCAAAATCAAATTAGCAGTATAATTCAAATCAATCCTTAACTTCAGTAATATCAAGATAATACTTTTTTGTTGTTAATCCTCACCCAAGCATATTTTTCCATTGATTTTTAGAGAGAGTGGAAAGGATGGGGAGAGACAGAGAGAGAGAAACATTGATGTGAGAGAGACACATCAATTGGTTACCGCCCACACTGCCCCAACCAGAGCCAGGGATTGAGCCTGCAACTGAGGTACATGTCCTTGACTGGAATTGAACCCAGGACCCTTCAGTCCACAGGCCAACACTCTAGCCACTGAACCAAACCAGCTAGGACAAGATAATATTTTTAATACTGTTTATATTGCTGAAGAAAGTTTTTTGGACACTAGGTCATTATAATGTTCCGAAAGGTCCTTGTGAATATTAGATTAAAATTCATTCTACCCCTGGGTAGCTCAATTGATTGAAGCATCGTTGTCAAGGTTGTGGGTCCCATCCCCAGTTAGGGCACATGTAAGAATCAACCAATGCATGCATAAACAACAAATTGATGTAGTACAAGCACTGATGTTTCTTTCTCCTTCCCTCCTCTTTCCCTATAAAAATCAATAAATAAGTTTAAAAATGTATTCCCTATGAAGGACAGGGGATTTTTTGGGCTGTGAAACTATTCTGTATGATTCTATAAGTATAGATACATGTCATTATACATTTGTCAAAACACATAGAATATATGACCTAAAAAGAAAACTTTAATGTAATATAAAAAATAGTAACACCTCGTCCCCTAACTCTCTTACATAAGTCCTCTGCTCCAGCCAAAGGAATCTGCTTACTCTCACAAAAATTGTTATGTTTCTCAGCTTTCACACAAATTATCATCATCTGTACTCTGCCCTCCGGTCTATTCATTCTTAAAAACTGACTGAAATTCCTTTGCTTTCAAGAAGTCATCCCATGGGAATCTCTTCTCCACTGAATGCCCAATCCCTGTTTCTGTTCCAACATAAATTTGACATAATAATAGATATTACTGCCTTGTAACTGATTTTGTACTCATGTCTTCTGTGGCTATTCAACTTTGATATTAATATTTAATGAAATGCTACGTAAACGCCACAGTGCCTAGTAATTTTCTAGGCAAAGAGAGAAATAAATTATTGAATTATTATTCCAAACTTTACATTATAAATATAAATATAATTGAACTTAAGCTGATCTTGTCCATTAAGTCTTCTAAAACCTTACAGGCTCTTTATTATTTACCTCTCTCTTCTATATTCCCGAAGCCTTGGGATTCTATACTTCTTTTTTTTTTAAATTTCCCCCACCCAAGGGATTTTTTTTTTAGAGAGAGTAGAAGGAAAGGAGGATTGTGTGTGTGTGTGTGTGTGTGTGTGTGTGTGTGTGTGTGAAAGAGAGAGCAAGAGAGAGAAACATTGAAGTGAGAGAGACACGTCAATTGGTTGTCTCCCGAATGCACCCCAACAGGGACTGGGGATCAAGCCTGCAACTGAGGTATATGCCCCTGATGGGAATTGAACCCACAACCCTTCAGTATGAGGGCCTACACTCTAACCAGAGATAAATTTATATAATAACATTTAACAACAGAAAGTTTTCTAGTCAAATATCTGGCTAAGCTTGCTTTGGTTGTTAGTGTAAGAAATGTTTGGGTTTACAAAATTGACATGAAATTTTTCCTCTGAATGTTTCACTCCAATGCATTTCATAAAATAAATCAATTGCAAACAAATAAATTTAGATCACTAATTCTGTTGGTGAAAGTTTATAAAGGGGTCCACATGAAATCTGCTCCCATAACAATAGACTAGAAAGACTTACTAAACTGACTTTTAACAAAAAGAAGATTGTAGATAAATGATTAAAGAAATCACTCGACTAGTCTATAATGCAGTTAATATTGTACTAATATCAACTTGCTGGATTTGACAGTGTTCTATGTAAGATATCATCAGGGAACACAGAGTAAAGGATATGTGAGAACTCTATTATTTTTACAACTTACTAAGAGTTTTAAATTCTTGCACAATTTTTAAAGGTTAAAAAAGGCTATCCAGCCCTAGCTAGTTTGGCTCAGTGGATAGAGCATCGACTTGAGGACCCAAGAGTCCTGGGTTCAATTCCAGTCAAGGGCACATACATTGGTTGCAGGCTCCTCCCTGGCCCGGGCCCTGGTCAGGGCTCGTGGAGGAGGCAAGCAATCAATGTGTTTCTCTCACATCGATATTTCTCTCTGTCTTTCCCTCTCTCTTCCACTCTCTCTAAAAATCAATGGGAAAATATCCTCAGTGGGGATTTAAAAAAAAAAAAGGCTATCCGTAAAAGGAATACATTATGATAATTACACATTATTTACATAAACTCATTAAAGTACTCCTCTGCAGGACTGATATTGCTGTTTTGAATATCTGTAATATATAGAACACAAGCAATGGAATCATACAAACCAGGGTAAAAATCCAGCCTCAGGAACTTAGAGCTTTATGAACTTAGAAAATTTTACTTAACTTCTCTAGCCTCAGTTTTAATGTCTGTGAAATGCAGATAATAATACTTAACTTACAGCATTGAGAGATTTAAATGAGATAATGTATGTAAAATGCT